TGAGAGTTTTGGAATTTGAGAATTTTGGAATTTGAGAGTTTTGGAATTTGAGAGTTTTGGCATTTGAGAATTTTGGAATTTGAGGATTTTGGAATTTGAGAATTTTGGAATTTGAGAATTTTGGAATTTGAGAATTTTGGAATTTGAGAATTTTGGAATTTGAGAATTTTGGAATTTGAGAATTTTGGAATTTGAGAATTTTGGAATTTGAGAATTTTGGAATTTGAGAATTTTGGAATTTGAGAATTTTGGAATTTGAGAATTTTGGAATTTGAGAATTTTGGAATTTGAGAATTTTGGAATTTGAGAATTTTGGAATTTGAGAATTTTGGAATTTGAGAATTTTGGAATTTGAGAATTTTGGAATTTGAGAATTTTGGAATTTGAGAATTTTGGAATTTGAGAATTTTGGAATTTGAGAATTTTGGAATTTGAGAATTTTGGAATTTGAGAATTTTGGAATTTGAGAATTTTGGAATTTGAGAATTTTGGAATTTGAGAATTTTGGAATTTGAGAATTTTGGAATTTGAGAATTTTGGAATTTGAGAATTTTGGAATTTGAGAATTTTGGAATTTGAGAATTTTGGAATTTGAGAATTTTGGAATTTGAGAATTTTGGAATTTGAGAATTTTGGAATTTGAGAATTTTGGAATTTGAGAATTTTGGAATTTGAGAATTTTGGAATTTGAGAATTTTGGAATTTGAGAATTTTGGAATTTGAGAATTTTGGAATTTGAGAATTTTGGAATTTGAGAATTTTGGAATTTGAGAATTTTGGAATTTGAGAATTTTGGAATTTGAGAATTTTGGAATTTGAGAATTTTGGAATTTGAGAATTTTGGAATTTGAGAATTTTGGAATTTGAGAATTTTGGAATTTGAGAATTTTGGAATTTGAGAATTTTGGAATTTGAGAATTTTGGAATTTGAGAATTTTGGAATTTGAGAATTTTGGAATTTGAGAATTTTGGAATTTGAGAATTTTGGAATTTGAGAATTTTGGAATTTGAGAATTTTGGAATTTGAGAATTTTGGAATTTGAGAATTTTGGAATTTGAGAATTTTGGAATTTGAGAATTTTGGAATTTGAGAATTTTGGAATTTGAGAATTTTGGAATTTGAGAATTTTGGAATTTGAGAATTTTGGAATTTGAGAATTTTGGAATTTGAGAATTTTGGAATTTGAGAATTTTGGAATTTGAGAATTTTGGAATTTGAGAATTTTGGAATTTGAGAATTTTGGAATTTGAGAATTTTGGAATTTGAGAATTTTGGAATTTGAGAATTTTGGAATTTGAGAATTTTGGAATTTGAGAATTTTGGAATTTGAGAATTTTGGAATTTGAGAATTTTGGAATTTGAGAATTTTGGAATTTGAGAATTTTGGAATTTGAGAATTTTGGAATTTGAGAATTTTGGAATTTGAGAATTTTGGAATTTGAGAATTTTGGAATTTGAGAATTTTGGAATTTGAGAATTTTGGAATTTGAGAATTTTGGAATTTGAGAATTTTGGAATTTGAGAATTTTGGAATTTGAGAATTTTGGAATTTGAGAGTTTTGGAATTTGAGAGTTTTGGCATTTGAGAATTTTGGAATTTGAGGATTTTGGAATTTGAGAATTTTGGAATTTGAGAGTTTTGGAATTTGAGAGTTTTGGCATTTGAGAATTTTGGAATTTGAGGATTTTGGAATTTGAGAATTTTGGAATTTGAGAGTTTTGGAATTTGAGAGTTTTGGCATTTGAGAATTTTGGAATTTGAGGATTTTGGAATTTGAGAATTTTGGAATTTGAGAGTTTTGGAATTTGAGAGTTTTGGCATTTGAGAATTTTGGAATTTGAGGATTTTGGAATTTGAGAATTTTGGAATTTGAGAGTTTTGGAATTTGAGAGTTTTGGCATTTGAGAATTTTGGAATTTGAGGATTTTGGAATTTGAGAATTTTGGAATTTGAGAGTTTTGGAATTTGAGAGTTTTGGCATTTGAGAATTTTGGAATTTGAGAATTTGGGAATTTGAGAATTTTGGAATTTGAGAATATTGGAATTTGTGAATTTTAGAATTTGTGGAATCTTACTATTTATATATGTGAACACTTATAAATTTGATAATTTGAAAAATGCAGATATGTGGACATCTAAAAATTCAAACCTTCATCAGAAAATTTTCACATTTACAATTTAAAGATTGTCAGCTATCTGACGATTTCACAATTTAAAAAATTTCGACATTCTTCAGCATATCTGAAAACTTGTCTCCTACACTTATGAGTAATCCACATCGAAAGTATCGACATCCACACTCAATTACCCGATAGTGCCTCCTGCATTGCGATTTTTCCTGGAAAAGCAGAATATATGTGCCAGTGTACTTCGTGTGAACACTTTGATACGAAGTTCACGAATAAATGCGTCATTGATTGATGAGTGACGAATTACGATTAACCCAATTTCATAAACCGGATATCACTATCCTTACAAAGAACGATAAGTGGACTCGGTGCGTGTTCGACGAATATGATATCGATTAACATACATATAAGGCAACTATATTTAAACCAGGAACAGTCGAGTCACTCGGTGACGAATGATTATAGTCATCGCTAGTGGCAATGGACTGACTCTTTTAGGGAGTGTAATCTTTTAATCATTTCCAAATTAAATTATAAATAGAAGAAAATTGTATTTAAATTTGGGAATTCGAAATACATTCATGTAATTATTAATTTACATACAAATTAGTTTTCTTTAGATTATTAAATGCTGATGGTACAGAAAACTTTGCATTTTTATTTACGCTAATTTGGAGTTAATCACATATGTTACTTTTAAATTTCCCGCTATTTATGACAGCATTTTAAACGCTGAGCATATTGTCTTTTTTTAACATATCTTTAGAAATCTCGTTTTTCTCGTTTAAATTTTAATTGACTATTTCATAAAAAGAAATAGTTCTGAATCGGTTTACATATTTAGAAGTCTCATTTATATTTATATTTATATAAATATAATATTTACGTGGCGTGATTTTGCTGCATTAGTATCGAACAAGTCTGATTGAATGACATTACGCGATTTACTTTATTTCTCAAAAGAATCTATGATTATTTTTCATTATCTATTACAACTTCATATGCATTTCATTTTGCAAATACATATAAATTAAATTTGCGATACACCAGTTTTTATGGTGTCTCAAGCTCCCATATCGGTCCCATATTCTGAAATATTAATGTACTTTCCACGTTACACAAAAAGGACATATACCGGAATGAACTTGAAAAGACTCGCAGTTGTACTTTTCCTTTTTCCCATAATTGTATCCATAAATTGGAATCGACCAGTAACATAGGGTCGACGGGGTTTGCCAGACGGGTATCGAGGAAAATAGGGAAAGTTTTTGTTTCTATTGAACGTCACCCTCCAATTTGTGACAAGGAAGACGTCTGACCACCTTTCTTGTCCCTTTCGCATTTTTTCTCACGTCTTTCCGCGTAAAGTCAGGCGTTTCATTTCGTTAAGAGGAGCATGCGTTGGGGTTCCAGTCAAAGGCACCTGGTTTCCCTAGTCGATAAATTGTCAGAGAACCTCCCCTTCGGTTCTTCTCCTCGCCGTGTTGCCCTCGTGTTCTCACTTGCACGCTTTTCTTTCCCGTTCACTGACTTTTAGGAAGTCCCACGTGAACTTTCAAACCTTTTCGATCGCGTTCAATTATCACGGATAATGTCCCTTCAGACAACGGAGCTTGCTTTTTGTACGCGTTCCCGTTAAGTGTTCGCCAGTTATTCTTACGCTTTTTCTTACAAGACCAAGGCTTTTAAAAAATAAGAAACGGGATATCATTTATAACTAATATTTTGTCAGTATTGGATCTTTTATTATATGTAGAATCAAGTGGAATTTGATGAAATTAGGCACTAAAAATTGTATACAAAATATCACTCTAATTGTCCTACAATATATGAACATATATGATTATATATGATTATACTCTACACATATGATTATATGATTATACCCTATACATGCGTATACGTAGTACATGATCACACAACATACATGCAAATATAAAATTACGCAAAATCAGTTACAATACATATTACACAATCGACCAAAACACTATAAAACATGAACCCACACATCATCAAAGAATTTGCTGACCTCAGATCCCATTCTGATAGGAGTAACTAGTAACATCGATTAAAAGCATTTCTTCTTTAAGGAGAATGCGGAGAAACAATTTGGTGGTTGGAGGATTCTGAAAGATAAGAATTATCTTGACATTGCTGATGTCTGAGGCACTCCGAATTCAACGACACAGTGTCTTCGCGTGCGATCGCCCGAATCCCCTCGAGTTTGAAGAGATAATCGTAGCAATTATTCCGCGGTAGAAGGTGGTTCGTGTCTCGAGTGTCGTTGGTTGAGTGCTAACTCGCAATTAATGTAAAACGGCCGTATAGTCACGCTAAACATCGACTACCTTCGCGAAAATACTAGACCGCTTGATTTAAGACCGGTCTTTGTGGTAGACGTCTTCATACTCTTCGAACAAGAGCATGCGTTTAACCGGTAATCAAATTTAAATTGACCACTTGAAAACAGAAGACGGAGAATTTAAATGATCTTTATAACAGATATGTACAATTTCTTTGAGATTTCGCGACTAATATTCCAGTCGTTCGGTTCATTCGTCATGTTGTTCTTGCTTCTGATACCGACCTTCAGGAACGAAGGCTTTTAAGCTTTATTTCGCGTAAATTGCATTCTCTGTCGGTGGTACAATATAAATGTACAATGTTTTAGAAATTGATGATAAAGAAAGAGTGCTTTCTTCATGTGATTTAACATGTGATTGTTAGATTACTATGCATTGTACTGTCACGTCTTCATAAAGTGTTTGCAATACCAATCCTTGACTAGAATATAACTGCCTTATTAATGAACGTAACATACAATAATAACGTAACATATAATAATATTTATTTGGACTTTTCTGTTTAGGTCTGGACGAAGCTCGAGGAAGCCGCCTCTCCGAGGATCCCCGGGCGCAGCGCTATAGAAAGTGTCGGCAGGTTGTGTCCCTGTTAGCGTTAGGCAGTAGAATAGTAAGATGCTAGTCTTCCCGGTGACCGAGTCATCAACGAGGATGGGCTCGCTGTTGTCTCATCAGCAGCAACTCCGTCTGGTCCTGTTGATCCTGGTGCTGATGTCTCCGCGTTTGCCGGTTCGTTCAACCTCGGCGGACATAGTACAAAAGTTCCACGACCCCGAGGTGAAACGCATGAACCATTTGGTCGTGGACAAGAACACGGGCCGCGTGTACGTGGGCGCGGTGAACCGGCTGTACCAATTATCCCCAGACTTGCAACTGGTGGTGAAAGAAGTGACCGGTCCGAAGGGCGACTCGACAGCTTGCTCGATGATCGACTGTCCCCGAGAAATGTCGACGAAGCTGGTGGACAACGTGAACAAGGCCCTGGTGATCGATTACACGACCACCAGGTTGATCTCGTGCGGTAGCCTGTCGCAGGGCACGTGCAGGGTTCGAAATCTGCACAACATCTCGGAGGTGGTGCAAGAGGTGAAGGAGGCGGTTGTGGCGAACAACGCGACCGCTTCGACGGTAGCCTTCATAGCACCGGGACCACCGAATCCACCGGTGTCCCAGGTGATGTACGTGGGCGTGACTTTTACCGGGAACTCGCCGTACAGATCGGAGGTGCCCGCGGTGAGCTCCCGCTCCCTCGACAAGGACAGGATGCTGAACATCGCGGAAGCCGCTGTCACCACCGGTACCAGGATGTACATAAACTCGCTGGCTCGCGAGCGATACCCCATCAATTACGTGTACGGTTTCAGCAGCGGGGGTTTCAGCTACTTCATGACCACGCAGATGAAGAACACCGAGACGGCGATATACATATCGAAGCTGGTGCGGGTCTGCCACGACGACCAGCATTACTACTCGTACACCGAGATACCGATCAACTGCACCAACGACGGGATATATTACAACCTGGTGCAGGCCGCGTACGTGGGCAAAGCTGGCTCGGTGCTCGCCGGTGATTTGGGCATCACAGCGCAGGACGATGTGCTGTTCGCCGTATTTGCCGAGAGCAACGGCACCAACAGCGACGTACCCGTGGAACATTCCGCGCTATGTGTTTACTCGTTGAAGGCTATCAGAAGGAAGTTCATGACCAATATACAGAAGTGCTTCAGCGGTGAGGGACACAGGGGATTGGAGTACGTGTCTCCCAGTCATCCGTGCATCTCAACGGTGAGTCGTTACTTTCCTTTTTCTTCAGTTGCGGTCTCGATATCATCGCGTACCTTCTACGCGAGCAAGGTTTACTTACTGTCTGGAAAAAGGACTATTTCAGAATGATTAAGTATCATGTCAGGATCTTTTGATTATACTGGATGTTCCCATATAATATAGTAAAAACATTGCGTGTTCCTATTAGGTGTCCTCGATTTTGTCATTAAATCAAACTGTTTTCGAATTGTTTTTTTTCTATCTATTATACACTTCATACCATGAAAGTGTTGTTCCAAATATTTTTATCAAACACAGTGAATTCGAACTAACATCCTAAAATATTTGGATTTAGTATTTATTTCCAAGTAAATTTATTTAATATATCACAAATCAAGCGCGAAAGATTTATGGGTATGTGATACGGCGTTATAGATAGAACGGGTTCAGAAATTTGAAAGGTCTGAAATATTTATGCGAGTATTTCGTGGTTTACGGCCGAACATTTCAGAAGGAATAAAAAGAAAAATTGCAGCATCATTTTGTAAAAGCACGCGTTAAACGGGTCCGAGAGTGCAACAAGAGGATTACGAATGGTGGATGGTAGAAGACAAGTTCCAGGTGTAGTAATGCCACGAAAGTTGGCTTTATATTCGCGTCTATGTAAATGAGAAACGATCATTCAGTCGTGTTGTAACGTCGTAGCACGAACCGATCGTGGGTGCACGTGTAAAATCGAGCAAGAAAGCACGCGCCCCGTTCTCGTGTTTCTTTCCAAGGGGGTTCTTTAAGCCCCCATGCGGTGCTGTCACGCGATAAGAAACTCGATGGCGGTTTACCGATTACCTGACGCTAGCAAAGCAAACGTACGGCTCCTCCTGACTGAATGCAAATCGACACCGATGGACGAAACACTGGCTCTCCCCGTTATCGTACACCCTCAACAACAATCCGTAAAGAGGAAAATCCATTTGCGACTCGTGCACTCGCGATTCATGCGCTACTCCAACCGCGACGACTTTGATCGACCTCCTCAACGACGCTCCACTATTCCGCCTTTTATTATCGAATTCAAACCACCTCCCTGTTTCCCCTTAAATCGTTCTTTTCTGCCCGACAAATCAGACTACTCGCGCGGTGAATCGCGATTCGACAGGGAAATTTCTGCTGGCAATTTGAACAGATTAGAAATTTTTTTTGTTTAATAAGTTTTCAATGAGTTATTCGAATTTTCAAATTTCCAAATCTTGAATCTTGAACTTTTGCTCCAGGTCTTGAAATTAAAAGTCGAAAAGTTGAAATTTTTCTGAGTCTTCAATGCCTCGTTAGCAATGTCCATAAACAACTCCCACTGAATCCATTGTTCATCCAAAGCATGATATCGATAAGTACGTTCGTACGAAACAAAGACATTCTATCTTGTACCCGGAATAATCACACCATTTCCTGGCACGTGTACATATCAATGAATCACCCTCGCACATTCATCAATGATGCATCCGTTATTAATCACGTCTCCGCAAAAGAGCAATATCGAAATCCTCGGCGGAAGATTTTTCTTGGCGAATCAAGGTAAGTTTTCAAGGAAGCAAAGTCCCGTTCGTGGAATAATTTGGAGGCAAGGTATCACGCGAACGAATCGAATTATGCGTTGGTAATTCAGCGCACGTGCTAGAACAACGTTGGAAGTCTTTGTCGTTGATTTGCTGAATGGTTGCCAGGTAAAAGGGAAGGCCACGATTCGTCCTCGTGGCCCATTGCGACGTAAATCAATTGGCTGCATCTTGAGGCTCCTCTTGAGGGTGCTTGTATTTACGTAACAGGTGGCCGGTATCGAAAATCTCGGCTGGTGATATAGCGAGAGAGATCGTGCGGAGCGTCATGTGTTCCTTTCACACGCGCGATCCTAATCTAGGCTAGATCTTCGACTACGTCTTCTGGAAAAAGCTCTGTTCGTTTCTCGGTCGTTTGAATCGCTATCGTCGACAAGAATTCGCAGATTTTCCTCGAAACGCTGACTCGCGATTTCGATGTTACCGCTTGCTCGATCCACAGGTTTTTTATCAGCGCGAAATTGTCGGAGGGAACTGAAGGATATTTGAAAACGGTTTTCTCGTCATTCTATTTTTCTGTCATTTTAAGTGATTTTTTTTTTACGTACTTTTCTGAATTTATTGTCTCTTATATTATTTAATTTTACTGTTATTTACTTTCTTGAATTATTACTTTATTTTATTGTTATCTACTGTGACATTATTATTTCATTTTGTTGTGGCTTACTCTCAGATTATTATTTAAATTTACTCTTACTTTACTCTTAGATTATTATTTAAATTTATTGTTACTTACTCTCAGTTTTTATTTAAATTTACTCTTACTTTGCTGTGAGATTATTATTTAAATTTATTCGTACTTTACTCTCAGATTATTATTTCATTTTGTTGTGACTTACTCTCAGATTATTATTTAAATTTACTCTTACTTTACTCTTAGATTATTATTTAAATTTATTGTTACTTACTCTCAGTTTTTATTTAAATTTACTCTTACTTTGCTGTGAGATTATTATTTAAATTTATTCGTACTTTACTCTCAGATTATTATTTCATTTTGTTGTGACTTACTCTCAGATTATTATTTAAATTTACTCTTACTTTACTCTTAGATTATTATTTAAATTTATTGTTACTTACTCTCAGTTTTTATTTAAATTTACTCTTACTCTGCTGTGAGATTATTATTTAAATTTATTCGTACTTTACTCTCAGATTATTATTTCATTTTGTTGTGACTTACTCTCAGATTATTATTTAAATTTACTCTTACTTTACTCTTAGATTATTATTTAAATTTATTGTTACTTACTCTCAGTTTTTATTTAAATTTACTCTTACTTTACTCTTAGATTATTATTTAAATTTATTGTTACTTACTCTCAGTTTTTATTTAAATTTACTCTTACTTTACTCTTAGATTATTATTTAAATTTATTGTTACTTACTCTCAGTTTTTATTTAAATTTACTCTTACTTTACTCTTAGATTATTATTTAAATTTATTGTTACTTACTCTCAGTTTTTATTTAAATTTACTCTTACTTTACTCTGAGATTATTATTTAAATTTATTCGTACTTTACTCTCAGATTATTATTTCATTTTGTTGTGACTTACTCTCAGATTATTATTTAAATTTACTCTTACTTTACTCTGAGATTATTATTTAAATTTATTCGTACTTTACTCTCAGATTATTATTTCAATTTTTTGTTACTTACTCTCAATTTTTATTTAAATTTACTCTTACTTGCTCTCAGATTATTATTTCAGTTTATTGTCACTTACTCTCAGATTATTCAAATTTACTGTTATTGTATACGTTGTCATTTACATAACGTAAATTGCATTTTTGAAGAATGATCAGTTAGTTATGTCTATTCTGCGTCACGTGTTTCTTACATACGAACCAATACGAGTCACATGCGTGAGTTATTCACATTTGATCGGTAACAGATGAATCGTTAAATGAATATAGATATACCAAATTTGTATAACATCTGCTCACAGTAATATAAACTTGTCATTGTATACAAATACAATTATTATTCTAATATTCATTAGTCTGTCACCAGTTCTCACTAACATCTAAATTCAAAGATAAAATAACCATTTTAAAATGAAACGAAATCAATTAAGTTCTAAGAATATTCAGCGACGTATCAGCACGTATTTCAAACCTTTCCAAACACGGTTATAATTCATTGACCAAGATAGCGTAAATTTCTCAGCTGTTTTTCATCAGGCATCAATACTGCTCGACGTAGGTGGTCTCAAATAACTCAGAATAACACAAGCATGACCGAGTTTAACACGTTGTCTGCCACGTTGGTCACAGCTCACTGACGCTCTACGAATGTAATTCGGTCGAATAATAAATTTCAATAAAAAAATAATGTATTTTAAATACCACCGAAACTGTGTACTCTAGTATTTCTGTCGCTGATAAAAATCTTTTCAAATTGCGGTAGCTGTTCTTTGAACAGAAATCTTGTAATTATTAAAATGAACGCGACACATCGAAGCGTGAAATGATGAATATAAATACATGAATGTAAATTTTATGCATGTACGATAGTTTTTTTAGTGGAGATATTTATAAGAAATCGACATTTCTCGGTGACTGTCGCGTGGCTGTACAATTATTTCTTGAATATGGCATAGGTTTAATTCTCGATTGCAAAGTGTGGGAAGTGAACACTCGGTATAATGCTGGTTGTAAAATATGTGGTATATTATTTTGTGTTTGTGGAGTTTTTTCATTGTGGAGGATTTGAGGATTTGGGGAGATTTTGTGTGAGACTTTTTTGTAGATGAGAGTTTTGGAGATGATTTGATGGTTTGGAAATATTGAAATTGAGGAGTTGGAAACTTTTCGATGTGGGAATTTGGGAGTTTGGACTCTTGAGAAGCTAGAAACTAGGGATTTGGGAATTGAGGTCTTTGGAATTTAGAAATCTAGGTATATAGGAATTTAGAAATTTAGAAACTTAAGAATTTAATAATTTAGAAGTTCGTAAGTCTAGAAATTTAGGCATTTATGAATGTGGAAATTTAGAAATCTGGGAGCTGAGGAATTTGGAAATTTAGAGATCTAAGAATTTAGAAATTTGGAAGCTTGGAAATTTGGAAATTTGGAAATTTGGAAGCTTGGAAGCTTGGAAATTTGGAAACATGGGAATTTGGAAGCTTGGAAATTTGGAAACTTGGGAATTTGGAAATTTGGAAATTTGGTAATTTGGAAATTTGGAAATTTGGAATCTTGGAAATTTGGAATCTTGGAAATTTGGAAATTTGGAAATTTGAAAATTTGGAAACTTGGGAATTTGGAAGCTTGGAAATTTGGAAACTTGGGAATTTAGAAGCTTGGGAATTTGGAAATTAGGTAATTTAGAATTTTAAAAACCTAAGAACTTACTTTAACAAATTCAGAAATCTAGAAAATTAAACATTCAAAAATATAAAT